TGGAGTTGTCTTCCCAGCCATCCTCCCTGTGCGTCATTTTGCTTGGCTCTGTTTCATTCACTTCATATACAGGATATATGTATTCAAATCCCATTCTCGTTAATTGACTTATTTAATTCCGTTATGGACTAACGCGATCTAAGTCGACGATGATATACGAGAATAGGTGATAACAAACATTCATACGATCTAAATGGAGTCAGATTCTCGGGCCACCTCAAATTTTTGTGGAAAGGAGTTACAGATCTAGTTCAAAAGGTTCTAATATTCTCACTACTTAGTCACCTAGCGAATATTTTGTTGAAAACTAACTGTTCAGTAAAATTTATTCAAATAACAACATTCCTTGAGGTGGGAAACGTGTCTTTTAATTTTTAGTGCATTCATTTCCGAATGTTCAGGATCTGTGCTGTGTCGAGCATAATTAAGCATTTTGCCGTTGATTTAGTGAGCGGGCGCTACATATAAGGAGATTTTCACCTAGAATTTCATTTGAAGCCACAATTTTTCATTTATTTGCTTTTTTAGTCCAGTTGGAATGCACTACAGTGGTTAGTTCATAGGAGATATGTATACATATGACTTAAGATTATTGAAATGAAATCCCCAGTGAAAATCATGCTCTTAGACGCAGCACTCAATCACTAAATGAACAAGAAAATACTAGATATCATAGTTTTAATGAACATTGAAAAAGGATAGTTATTCGAATACGACTTTCTCTTTTGAAAAGCCGTTTACTGACAAAATAGTTTGGACAAAGATGTGTAAACAAAGGATAATATTCCCTATAAATACTTATCGGACCATACAATTATGTCTTTAAATGAATAATCAAAAGTTATGATCATTTTCAAAAGTAATACTGTCTTAATGTTTGAGTTTATGGTTTTTAAATTGCGTGTAAATGTTGAAATGGTTAGTATGCTGTGTACATTTGAAATTGTGAGGAAGAAACAAATGCTTTGGTGAACACTAACAGGAAAATTGATTACATCGGAAAGTTTGTAAACAAAATTACGAAGCCAAAACAACATGGAGTCTAGAGAACGAACAAAAGATCACTGTTGATGTGCCCAGCATTTGCGAGTGACATACTTAGTACAAAAATCGTTCGATCTAAGAAAACTGCAACTAAAGTTCTCTACGCGTCTGATACTGATATCAAGATTGAAAAATGATTCATTTAACCTAGCTATTTCTTTTATATCTGTCACTTCAACTGCCCCTGAGGAGCAAGTCACACTGACAGATGTATTCGAAACTTTCTTTTTCATTTTCGTGTGCAGTTAGTGGGGCTGGGCAAAGGTGTAGTGAAGGCTTCACAGTTCTTAGCTGAAGTGGTTCAGATTAATCATATGGGTAGTATTAACTAATCATTTAAAATTTATAAACTCAATTAATAAAAGTATTTCGTTTAAAATTGGTTAATGTTTTCATCCCTGGTTGTCTGTATTTCCCTACTGTGGACAACATAATCTCCACATATAAGAATTTCCATGAAGATCATTATCACGGTACTCATATCTATGCTTTTAAAAATAAAATGCAGCTTTAGATCTCTAAAACAAGTTCCCAAAAAAAGCAAAACATACCAACTGTCACAAAATCGTGCAAATTAGAAGGCTAATTACCAGTATTACTTAAATAATGTGTGGTACTAGTTAGCGGGATGTGATCTAGCGGATAAATTTAACTTAATATTATCATATTGTCCTGACTGAGAGTTAGGCATGAAAAAAATGCGTTGGCTAGCGTTAGTATATACTGTTTCTATGTTTTAGGAATTTGTGTTATTGGATTAAAAGTGAGAATAAAACGGCAATAACACTAAACTACATTGGTGAAACACTTGGAACTGTACTTTTATGAGCTGTGACAGGAGGGGTAAATTGACTTGTGGGACTATAAAACATGTTAACCCCTTAACAAGAAAGCTAAATGATATCAAAGTTCCTTGGTTTTGTTCCCTAACGCAAAAATAGTTTGTAATAGTTGAGAAATTCCTCATTATTTTCATCTACGTTATGCACCACTGATGGCGAAATTTTCTCAGAATGGATTTCAATAAAGTACATTATTTCTAGAGGTTTAAAAAGTACTACGGTGGTGATGGCCAAAGACATCTGGAATCGTAGCCAATAAAAAAATACTTGTACTGAGAGTTGAAAGTGTTAATATTAATCTTCAGTGAGTGGTCAGTATCTTACGTTTGCTCAATAACAGATTGACGTTAAGTCAATCAGCCATAATGTATAATCTGATACGTACGTACATCGGTCCATGTTACCATACCGATTAACACAGAAAGACGAAATTATCCAACCTGATCGCAAAATAGTAGATGTAGTAACAGTGTTAGTGGTAATGGGAAAGACTAGGCATTGAATATACGATTCGAGGAAATATAAATTAGTGAAAGAAAAACGAAGAAAAATAGAGTTGTATCAATCTATTTAGTTTCATGCATACCGAATCTTCTGCATATGAACAACCTTTAGAAGGAGGTTTTATAGATGTAGTTGTGTGAGAAAGATGTCTCAAATACTTCACCTCAATCATTTCTTTGGAAAACGACCAGCTATTTCAAAGCGTCATCAATTCTCTAGATCAATATGATAGGTTGAGAATCTTTTATGCCTGAGTACAGCGGTAAATACTCATGACCTTACTAGGTGTCGAATCTAGAACATCAAGAGTTAAGAACAAATCCATAACCTTTGGTCTAATAAATTAGATCCCAAGAAATCACATTTCAAACTCCGGTCAATTCATGATATTATGTGGCCACTACCCATTTCCATCTGTGATAAACCTAAAATCGTTGAGCTCTATCTGTTACCTTTTTTTTTCTAAATATCCAGGAAATTTTCCCAAGGTTATGATTACTAATATCACGAAAATTTCGTGTAGACTATCCATTTTGAGGTTAGTCTACATAATTAACTGTATTTGACCAAGAAACCATTGCTAACTAAGAATCACTGGACAGCTAATTTATCCCTGTATGGGACTTTTAAGTAAAGTGAACTAATGACGTCTGCGGTGATTGGACCCAAAGCTATCAGGTTACGCATTCTCTATAAACTCCATAAGGATGAGAGTAGAGGTGAAGTATTATCTAAAATTATTTCCAAACCGAATATCCTGAGTAGTAGAATTGCTACGATTTCAAGGATTGATTATATGAGTTGGTCCAAATGAAGGGTCAATCATAAGATAAGAGATATGCTACTGAGAAGATTTATTCATCTAAAATGTCAGCTGAATTTGTAGAAGTATATTGCCAACACGAATTAATGGAACTCTAAATGTCATTGAGTTTGACCAGAAAGTATATGATGAAAACGACTAATTATCAACTGATTAGAAGTCTTTACCACCTATCATACGTAAGTTATCCTTAGTTCACGAGAATATCAGAAACACAGTCAAATACAAGTCATATGGCTGAGAAATGCATAGTCACTGAGTAGTTGTAGAGAAGGAACACAATTCTAAAGCATCTTTTATCTTCGTTAGCATTATTCCTTGGGTCGATTAAGATTCCCTTGTGTAATGTACTATTTTTATAGCAGCTCAGCATCAACTAGAGAACCATTGGAAACGAATGATTTGTGGAATGTTTTGATGGGTGTTAACAACAGTTCAGTCAATTGAAAATAACGAAGTCTGTATCCAGTGTTGAATATTTGTCACATTAAAGTGTTTTAGAGAGGTGTTTGAACCAGTATCTTCAACAGGTCGTTTCAGTCCGCAGTGGAAATTATCTTCAAACTAGATAAATCTATACAAACACAAAATTAAACAACCCTAAGTGGTCAATCTCCTAAAAAATATGTGCTTAATAGCGAATAATTTGGAAGTAGATTCTCCTAATTCTAGTGAGGAGACATGAAAGGTAGGATACGATCAAGTTGAAATTGAGACGCCTATCACCGATAGTATTGGATGACGGTTGTCACGTAGCTTAAATTGTCTCAAATTATAAACATACACTTCTAGATGGAAACTTATTGATCTAGATATATCGTGATTCTCACGATATCTGAAGTCCCCGGTTTTCATCCTTGAAGATGTGATGGACCAAAGAGCATATATATATATATATATATATATATATATATATATATACGTATGGTTGTACAGTGTCAAAAAAACCCCACTATTAAGAAACGACTTTCTATCAGGAGTTACTTTATAATGAATCTATTTTTAGACGGAACAATCCCCATGATCCAATCTTAATGATGGAATTGAAGCGAAGCATGAAATCCTGTGTATTTAAGTAGACAAAACACATTAATACTTATTGATTTAATTCTTTACAGATTGCTTAAACAATATGGTGATTCATAAACCGTACAGTATTGAAAATAAGTATCCTAATTAGAATGCGTCATATTTTTATTTAGCATTCGAAGTAACCAGTTTATCCATCGTACTCTCTGAATGTCTTGTTAGATTTACGAAAAACTGATATTACTCTTACTGCGCGGAAACACAGAAATTTGGTCAGCTGTAGTTCTTTAACCGCATTTATGTAATCCGACACTAAGAACTAAATGAAATATACTATAGTATATTTCATGACTATAGTCATTTGAGCAAATATTCCACTCTTACAATAACCTGTTCGCAAATTTTAGGTAATGTTTAAAACGAAGTCCCAGTAAATCTTATTTCGAATAAGATAATGATCTTAATGATCGAAAATACGTTAGTGAGACTGTTAATTGCATACGATTCCAGCCAAAAATTAAAACCAAACTGACTGATTCACTTTCCCGTTTTCCTTATATTCCTTTCCATTTTCAGTTAATTGGTGTGTCTCTTGTCCACCTGTCTATATTACGAAAATTTTGACCTCTAAATTTTCTCAATTTAAGCATAGATTTCAAACCTTGACAGACTAACGCCTTGGATAATTTCACTCTGATTGGTTAAAATTTTTATCGATTTTCTACCACATATAAGGACAACATCAAAAATAGCCAGTCAGTTGATACAGCACCAAGCTAGCTGTTCGTATCGGTCTTGTTCTGATTTACGATAATAATGGGGATCCTAACGGCTTTGTGCTAATGCATAATATGCATTTGTATACACATTTTGGCTTACAGATTTATATTTTGTTTCCTGTTGTGTAATATGTTCTATACCTTAAAGTTACTGTGATGGATGTAGCTCAACAAATCACGTATAATTCAGATATAGCGCAAGCTCCTAACCGAGCTGGATCTATTGCCTCCGCAGTATATAATGAAGAAATATCAGAGGAAGAAAAGGCTTTGGATGCAGAAATACTGAATTTAAAAACTTCAATTACTGATGCACAGAAAGCTGTTGCAGATACAGACTTCTACAAAATGACTGAGAATGTACCTGAACTTGGGAGAATCAAGTTCAAAGTACGTAAACATTTACGAGGTCATCTAGCTAAGGTGACGTCTATTCAATGGGCCTCTGACAACCAGTTGTTGTTGTCCGCTTCTCAAGATGGAAAATTAATCGTTTGGGATACATTTTCTGGAAAGAAAATTCATATGATTGCTTTGAAAACAGCCTGGGTCATTGGATGTGCATTTTCTCCGTCTATGAACTTTGTGGCTAGTGGTGGATTAGATAATGTCATATCTTATTTCAATCTAAAGTCTCAGGACGGCACTGCAGAGTTTGTCCGCGAGTTTACTGGTCATAATGGTTACATCGCATGTGTTCGATTCATTGATGATAATCGATTACTGAGTTGTTCTGGTGATAAAACTTGTGCACTATGGGATATCGAGAAGTCTAAAATCATTACAAGTTTTCGCGGCCACTCAAATGATGTTAACGCCATTGCCGTGTCGAAGCAGATGCCGAATTTGTTTGTCTCCGCGTCTTCAGACCGCACTTGTCGGTTGTGGGATCTTCGGTGCGGCGAAGGTATGCAGTATTTCGAAGGGCACCAGCAAGATGTTAATGGCGTTGATTTTTTTCCCGTCAATTCTTATGCTTTCGCCTCCTCTTCCGACGATGGCTCGTGTCATTTGTGGGATCTACGAGCTGATCAAGCTATTGGCGTCTATATTGATGACTTCATTAACTGTGGTAGTAGTAGTGTGGCGATTTCAAAGTCTGGTCGTCTGTTACTTGCTGGATACGACGACTTCAACTGTCACGTCTGGGATCTATTACGAGAAGAACGTGTCGGAATCATGTCCGCCCATGAAAACCGGGTCTCTTGTGTAACAGTATCTGATAGTGGCATAGGTGTTGCAACTGGGTCATGGGATTCTAACTGTCTCATATGGACTGCGAAATAGGTATGTATCAACTATATTCTTGAAGTGATTACTCAAGTTTTTTGATACTTTTGGGATCGTTTCTTTTTATTTCGAATGATCTCTTAAATTAAACTTTATATGTAGAATCTGACCATTTTAACGCTGATAATCTCAGTTTTCCCTTCATAGATGTATGTTCATGAAATTTAGTATATGTTAATTATGTTTATGTGAATCTGGTTGCTAATTTATTCTAAATAAAACTCATTCCGTAGGAAAATCTATCACAATTGGAACGTATACGGAGTCACTTGTATTCGATTTTTCTCATTTATTGCATCCTGTATTGTCTTTCTTAGCCCTCAACTATGATTTCCGATTTCTCCCTGTTTTTTTTCTGGTAACGCCTGCGCCATGCATTAAATTTCTGCTTTAAATACGCTTCCCAATTGACCCAATGAAGATGGATTACATTATGCAAGCATGTAGACAAAGATAAATATTTTGCTAATACTCCTCGTGTGTTGTTTTTATTTTTTGTTTTGTTTGCTATCATCGCTGATTTAGTGAAACGATGGTCTACAATTCTAGTCCATTCCAAGTTAAATTACAAATCCAATGAAGTGGGTTCTCAGTTGTGAATATTCTAGTTGCTGAAGTGCATCGAATCTAGGCTTCGAGAGTATATCCACAGTTGATTTTTGGTCCCGATGCACCATTTCGTTTCTTAGAAATTACACTGGAGTTTCACCCGTCAAGTCACGACTTGTTTCCTCTAAATGTGTGATCTAATTCGAATTCAGCCGAGTTACATTGCATAGAACACTTGCTCCCTGTGGTCGCATCATGCCAGCCAAGTCGTTCCCTGAACGATTTAGGCTCAAGGAGATATCTCAAGGACGAAGCTGTGTTGCTTACTGTGTGGAAATGTGGGGTTATTGCGGTGTTTTCTTTGTGTGAGCATTGTCAACAACGATTCTGCTTACCCATAAAGAGAAAACCAAACCCTAAATTTAGATCTTGTGCGGTTGTAAAGTCTGATAAGTATGTGATACCTCGAAAGCCACTTGCAGGAAGTTTGTGACCTACCTCTGGTAAATTTCCATTGTGCTCTGCGGACAAACTTCAAGTTCGGGGAGGATTTTTGTACAAATCCAGTTCCCTTAATCAGGTGTAGTAGTTATGACGATAGTTTTAGTCCCTAAGTAGGTAGTATAATTTGAAATGATACGCTAATCTTTCACCGTGTTCGAGTACATAGGTCATTCTCTGCATTTATCTAGGGAATTTCTCATTCTTAGCATGTGTTAACCTGAAGGATATAAAGAGATGAACCCTGTTCTAACTCAACTGTGGATACAAATTGACTATATTCCTATCAGCCAACGTCAAAGACTTACTCATTCTGGGACATAACCCTAAAAATTTCAGTCATTATGTAGTGTGATAGTTAATTGGTGGAAAGTCTTTAGTAGGAATCCCTTTCAGATCACCTATCTAATACGGAAACCCTAAGAATATGTTTAAGGAACTAGTCAGACCCTTGAAGGTGAGTATGGTGTGTGAACATCTATAAGCATAACATTGACATCTGCCTATTTGAACCGATAGGTTACAAATAAGTGATGTATCTCGGAGTTTAATGCAATTAATAGATACTCAGAAACTCATCCTTATATCCTCCAACCATGATAACGAATGTAGAGATTTGCTTATCGATTGGTAAAAAATTCCCATTAGTCGTTATTAAAGACGGCAAAAGTCAAAATCATAAGGAAAAAAGCAGTGATCGATAACGCAGTGAGTTGTTAGATTAATTACATAGGCGACTTATAAAGTGAACGGTTATCGAAATTATTTCTGAAAATATTTAACCCGAAGTCTACTTTTAAACCATGGTGATCATGAGAAAAACATGAGGAATAGTTCTGCTGGCCCCAAGCTACTACCTAGTGACTCATTATTTTTGTGTTTGAGTGGGTGGTGTACTCTCGCATTCATCAAGTTTGAGATCTTAACTCAAACATAAGGAGATCATGACATGACAGATCAGCTGCATAGATTTGTATAGGGATGGCCAGACGTTTTCATTTAAAGCAGCTGAGATATTAATTAGAGCCTGAAGTTGTATGTAGCCTCGTGTGGTTAGTCGAATTCTCTCACAATAACCTCCGAGAAATCAGTTTGACTGATACAGTTCCTGTTGACATCTGACGCCAATATGTAACGCTTGAACAGCTAACTTAAAGCCTTTCCGTGAACACTAATCGAGAACGTACCTTTCGTTCGATTTCGACACACTGGTACGACACAGGTATTGTTTATTTGAAAGTCCTGTGGCGTTGTTTCTCATTAGAAGGGTTACCAGCAAGTACGTAAACGCATCGGTTCTCTTACCCAGACATTGTTGGTCGAGTTAGAGCTTATAGCGAACTCCAACACACACCTTCAGTATGGAGTACCAGCTTTAGGTTCCTAATGAAACAATTTCATTCACCAAACCAGACAATTTGTTAAATATGACTAGATCTTATTACTCATCATCTTTACTGAGAACCAGTAAAACACCTTATCACTCATGTCCCAGTTTATCTCGACAACCTTTTGTTTTGTTTATAAAATATGCAGTTTTTCTCTTACCACTTGATCTCACTCTAAACAGTCATAATCCCTACATATCGGCCTCGAATATTTTGTCATCTATTCACCATTTCATAAATTACAGAATAAATGCCGGGGCAACAACTTACTCATGTTACTTGACCTTAAGTGAGGTATGGTGAAAACAAGTCTTTTCAAATAGCAGTGACTGCGCACGTTTATTATTGTTGTTAACGCGTGTATAATTGTGCATCATACAAAATTCCAGATACAAATACCGTAGCACTTTTATCTTAATGTATTAGCTTGATATATGATGCAAAGGGTTTCACGTCCAGCATCCTGTTTCATTAAATGGTCTCTAGACGACAAAATGAAAGGTCTGTCTTTAGTTATTAGTTATTGTCTTTGAAATATTTGTCGTGCTATTTAAACGTCAGTTGATCACTCCTTGTTTAAGGTGCAGTATTTCATAGTGTTGTAAACAGGTAGGAACTGGAACTCCTGGAGGATGTATTTTTCAATCACAATTGAGGCTTCATGTGTATGGGTTAAGAGCTTTAATGGTGACAGAGTTAGATGTCACTAGTTTACGAATGTGTCAATATTATTCGCTTTTGAGAACCATATCCTTGTGACTGAAGCTAGTTTTGTAATTGAGATTATTAAACGATTCGACTCGAGGTCGATAGCAGTGGCCCTAGTAAATCTGTTATGCCACTCTAAGGTCTTAGCATAACTATTTGTAGATTTACACATCACTACTGATTGCCTTTCTTTGGTTCATTCTACGTTTTCGTTTCTTTTATAAATTTTTTGTGTGTACAGAAAAACGGCACTTTAAATTGATGAAATATCCTCCGAAGATCTGCATTGTTCACACGATCAATCTGTCATCAGTATTGCTAATTGTCTTCCTATTTCAACGTTTTGATTGACGTTCATTCGAGGTAATTACCTTCGATCTTTCGGGGTTTTATCTGAATTCCTGAAATCCCCCGCAGACTCTTGTCGGTGTAACGCATTCTTCTAAACACCGTGCTTGGACTTCCAGTCGACCGACTTTCTCCAAGACGTCCTTACAACGTCTGTTTTAGCAGTAGTGTGTGAAGTAGTTTGTCCAGTTTTCATTTTCAATAACTAGAGTTGCGTTAGTAAGTCGAGGAAGTATTGTATAATTATGGAAAAGTTAATTACATTCTTGATTATGGATTAGATAATATTATGACAATACAATACGCTGTAAGTAGATTAACATGCATCCATACTACTTGTAAATGATCACAATCGGGATTCTGTACGTCACCTTATTTGTCTAATCCGAAACCAACTTATTTTATCTGAATGTTGGCAAGGGCTAGGATCTCATATCATAGGAACAATGAAATTTGATTACAACAAGCCGTATTTTGTTAGTGATGTTCAGCTTGGCTACTGTATCTTTAATTTCATCATCTGTTAGCCAACGTTTCCAAGTTGTTTAAATGATGACTTTGCTGCGGGATTGGTAGGTAAACTTCATAGTCATCTTTAAATGGGTCATACCACTACTTTTCTAGGTTGGGTCTGCTTATCCCTATATACATGTTTTTTTTTGTCTGTAATGGCTCAATTGTTTCTGACAGAAATAAGTGTATTATCTTATTTGGGTTGTAAACTATCTGTTCTTGTTGGTACTCCTAAAGATCGAGAACAAATATCCACAGTTAGTTTGTTACGTCGTTTGGAGCCTATTGTAAGACAAAGCCTTTCAGTGGCTTTTATAATAAGTTCGTTTCAATCTCAAAGACTACCGCTGAAAATTATTCAGTTGTTCATGTTTACTTTCTCACTTTTACGGAACTAAGTCTCAAAAAATAGGCAAGGACAGTTTGATGTGAAAATATTAACAACAAATGTCGTATTATAGTGTAATTGGTGTCGGGGTTGTAAATTTGATTTTCCTGTGGCAGCTAGGTAGCAAGTAGTTGCCTAAGGATCTACGCATCTACTCATAACTTGATACATGTAAAAGAACATGATCAAAACTTTCTATGTAATTGCTGTTGCTTAAAAGTAAATTTTTTGTAATAATGATTAAGTCATTTAGTCATCACTTCTTTTTGCTATTCAGTAGGGATACAAATGTTATGGTTACGTTGCCTGACTAAGTCAACTGGTTTAGTTTCGTTAGTATCTTTCGATTTGTAATGCTATCACAATAATATCGTTATAGTCACAGGTAAAATAGCCTATCTAGTACTTACTAATGAATATTCATTTTTTGTGAATATCTAGAGTTTGCTGGTAGTTATAAAAATAAATATTCCTGTCTGAATAATACTGCATCTATGGAGTACATAATTCCCTACTCTACTTTTATTGTTTTTTGCGATTTGGACTTTATCACTAATCTTCGCTCTTTAGATATTGTCCGTAATTTAGTGCATTAACATTCAGTTCAGCTACTCAGTTGCATTACTTTTATTATTAATGTAGCTGTGTTCGTCAGGTGCTTAAGTCACAGGATCATAGAGATCAAGAAAGGAAATAGAGGGACCCAAATAACTCATTAGACTAAACTGCCACACAACATCAGCATATGGTGAGGAACTTAATGAAATTAAGTGAAAATAATGGAGCTAGTATTATTCAGTCAGTCAGCGATAACGTAGAACTTCATACATCAGTTCGAGTTGCCATACCACATTTGCCTAGAGATACAATTGTCGATTCAAGTCCCATAGTGGTAGAGGTAGTAAAAGTATAAGCAGTAATTGGAAAGATTAGGGTTTGAAGATGTTATTTAAGGAGTATATTCCAGTGAAGTAAATTTGGAAAGAGAAAAAAAGGGACACGAAGAATTCAGACAATTAGAATTTGGGAGAACATAAAGAGTCGATGTACCTGGGCCATTGCAAACGATTTTGAGCCGTGTCATTCAGGATCTCTAACCATCGGTTGCTATCGTCTCACAGATCCCAACCAGGTAGTCTACACCTACTAACATGGCTCAGTCCACTTGTCAGTGACTTCATGGATTTGTGCCATGTTTTGGTCTGGCCACCCTTAGCTTTCTTCCAACCTACTCCTACACCACAAAACATTGCACATCGAGGCAGTCAGTGGTTGGGCATACGTAACACGTGTCCCAGCCATCTCAACTGATGGAATTTCTCTATTTCACCAATTGATTTGTCATCCTTACCCAGCACCCGTTTCCTAACAACTACGTTACTTACTCGGTGGTCTCAGGATATACAAGCAATATTTCGAAGACACCTATGATTAAATATTAGTAACCTACGGATATTCTCTACTCTTACCGGCCATGTTTCACAGCCATAAAGTAGGACGGAACGAACTGCTGCGCAGTAAACACGTCCTTTGGTTGATAGACGGATATCTCGCCTACGCCATAAATGACGCAAGTTCGTAAAAGCTAGTCGAGCCTTCTGTATCCGTGCTGAGATTTCGTCACACACCAGACCACAAGGGCTGATGAGAATTCCAAGATAAGTGAAGCGATCGACACGCTCAACTACTTCACTCCCTATCATTAGTTCGGGTGTCGATGCAACCCAATCCTGAAGCAACATTTCGCATTTCGAGGGGGAAAATCGCATCCCGAACATGCTTGCATTGTTGCTTATACTGGTCAGAAGACTGTAATTTGTAAGCGTCTTCACCAAATAGAACTATGTCATCAGCATCTAAGTGAAAGTGAACAGTAAAAGTGATGCAAGATTCCGACGTATTTTTTCGACTGGTCAGTATGTACATCCTCCAGTGGCTGGTTTCAAGCCGCGTTACTTGACAGTTTTGATCAAAAATTACGTTTATCCCTCTAACCTGGGGGATTATATATATATATATATATATATATATATATATATATATATATATATATATATCCGTATATTTGATGCTTTCGTGGACTGACTTCATGTCCTATTCTTGAGGCCTCTAATGTTTTCCAACCTACTTCTATGGTAGCTGTCATGATACATGAAGATAGGGGTTGGTGAAATGGACGACAGTTCTAACAAACTTTACATTTTAAGAATTAACCAAGGGTCTATCATTCCAACTAAAGCTGATATTCATTCTCAACCGATTTATATTTTCTGCCTAGTCTCCTATGCCTCACTTTAGGAATATTCATTCCATTTTTGATCAATGCTTGAAAGACATGTTATTTCAAGTGTTTTCATCTTGGATGTACACAATCTTCTTAGGGTGTTCCACAACGTAAAAAAGTACGTATTTGTTCTCAAGTGTCCTATCCTTTTATGTTTCCATCAACATATTCTTCAGTTTCTTTTTGAAATAAAGTAGATAATGTCGTGTGAGTTGTCCTTGACAACATTATTATTTGTAGTTTTATTTTCTCTGTCGCACTACAGTTTAAGCCATTAAATCCTGTTTAAATTATTATAATTCCTTAATTAGGCCTGAATTTCAAGGTTGAAGGGCGAATTCGCTCTTACATCGATATCGAGAATTCCACATCTCAGACTTCGTCTAGACTCTAAATTGATTAAAAAACGATTAGGAAGCTTATTAAGTTTCCTAAGCATAATTGTCTAGTTTTGATTAATAAGTAGCTTTATTATCACACAGATTCTCCATAAGATTTCTAATTTTTGGACCCTAAACCTTTGTCAAACCGTCGTGTTAGTTATTAATGGGTTTAAAGAGTTTCTGAATTGCACTATTCTGTTCCATTACATTCGTAATCTTATCCAGCTGAAAGTCGACTGTGTTTATCATCATTTTATGGAGACTTTAATTAGACTGCTGTGTAGTTTTGAATGGTCAACCTACATTCGATACAGAACTATCTCATTGAAGTGGTAGTGCCAGTCATTCTTCTTTCCTTTATCAATGGACTTAAAAATGTCTCGGCATGTAAATGAGAATAATACCTTAATTTACCAACTTAGCTCCGTGGATCAAAAGACAGTGCGATCAGACGCGCATACCACTAGACAGAGCCACAACCTGTTTTGGTGGTTATTACTTAGAAGAGTGCTACAAATCACGGCCGAAAACTGGGATTCTAAGCAAAGACGGATAGTGGCTAGCAGTGGAATCCAGGATGCGCGTTTCACCCTATATGGTACTCATCAGTTGGGTGTGCCTGCATCTCAGGGTTGATGTTCACCCTGGAACTCATACGCAATACCGTTCGCTCAGTCGCGTTATCCACTTTGCTACTGAGTTCTGACAGCCACTTGATTGTGCAATGAGGTGAAGTTCTTATTCATTTTTGTGTGGTTTGTCGGAATCTGCCGATTGATGTTTAGGACTGCAATTGATCAGTCTCTTATTGGGATTTGTGTATACAGTGCGTATTGCCTATCAGGACTCAGTAGCAAAGTGGATAACGTTAAGGCATTTGAAGCGATCGGCACTGGGTTAGAGTCCCAGAGTGAATATCAACTCTGAGATGCAGGTACATCCAGCCGACGTGACCCAAATAGGACGGAACACACATCCTGAATTTCCACTGCCAGCCACTATCCATGTTTGCTTAGAATGCTTGTGATTTCACACAATATCGAGGCAATACGCAAAGTATGCACATACGACAATAAGAGACTGATTAATTGCAGTGCTAAACATCAATGGGAAGGTTCAAGTAAACAATATCAAGTGAAATTTACTACTTGGATGTTTAGAATCTTTTTAATCGAACCGTTTTCCGCTAACAGTCAGATTGCGTTTCGAAGTTATTGATGGGTTTTTTAATTCCAATTCTTATGTCCGTTATATTGAGTATATTCAGGTTCTCTGAGTTAATTGCAAATCGATTATCTGTATCAATCTGGTTATGCATTCTTTCGGATTAGATTGTAAGAAATTGCTGCTCAGTGATGGATGGTTCTAATAATTTATTCAACGCTACATAACCACATAAACTTGGGTATGTATGTCAAGTATCTACACAAATTTTAAATGTGTTAACCACCTTTTCACGGCGAAAAACATGTAATATTTGGAAGCTACTTGATTTAGGCGTCATACAATGTCACCATTTGAGGTCCTACGCTATCTATGTAACAATATCTAAAGCTTAGCCATAGCTCTTTGAACAGAGGTCGACCAAATGTATCTGTAAGCTCTTACTTTGTATGTGGAAGTGTTTCAGCAACAGGCTGTGGAACAATTCTGAGAATTCACTATCGTCAACGAATTCCTTTAGCTTATCGGACATTACTGAGTTTAATGGTAGATATGTCAACGATACTCACACACTTACTGTCCACTTTTTTATCTACACTGGATATCAAAAAACGTGTGAGTGATTGACACAACCGTTTTACATGAAGGTACTTCATGTAAACAAGTATTCATGAGTTTTCTCCGAGGTTTATGTTATAGTATATTTCAAAGTTTTCTCACTGAAACTCGGTTGATCAAGAGAGCGATGTTCATACTAAAAAGTGGATCTTATATGCTGAAATCATGTTCTATATCTTGTTAATTTAATCGGATGCTGCAAGTTTATTTTTTTAGCCTCACTTTTTGTAACTAGAATTTCAACGTTGTTTTCGGATAGTTAGTTTTATACACGGTCAGACAAATTTTAGTTTTTCCAAATTCTTAAGATCGTAAAATGGGTTATTTAAAAATGTAGTGATTTCCAGCTGAAACAGCTGCTTGTAGGGCAGCGTATACTAAACATTGCAAGTCACACGAAGTGGAAAACTGTCGTGTACCGACTTTTGGTTTCGTCTGGTCGCACTGTTCTCTATTGTAGACATGTTATAGAAGTCATTTCCTTACAAATAAATAGCATGCTTTAGTTCAGTAATGTTTGTTTATTGCAATGTTGCGCCTACTAATTTGAAATAATTCTTCGTTTTGTAATATTTCCAAATCAATTTGCTCGTTTTCGAAGCCCAATAAAATTTACTAATTTACACAATTTACAATACAATTAAATCGATAAAGTCATTCGTCAAATTACAACTATATTTACCAATGTTATAGTGTAATAGAGAATATAAATTCCAGAATGTCATATGTTTAAATTAACATGAAAGTCAAAATCCATCTTATTAAATATGTAACTGTGGTATTTTTAACTCTGATCGAATTACAGCGTAAAATGTTGAGGTGCTGTTTGAAAGA